GCCGCAGCCGGGCAAGCTGCCGGGACCAGGCACATGCCAGGACTGAGCCGGCCTGCCAGCTCCCCAGGCAGGCCGCCCGCATTTAACAGGTAACATTCATCAATAAGCATCAGCTGATCAGTTGGCCGGGTAACCTCTAACGTCCCGACGAGGAGCCAGCCCGGCTCTACAAACCTGACATTCAGATGGTCAGCGCCCACGGCCGAGCAGACAAGTTTTCACTGGCATGCAGAAAAGGGGAAAGTTCTCTAGTTCTTGCTTGCAAGCACAGCAAAGAACTTAACCCACACAGCCACCAAGCCCAGTATGGCGGGGAACGGATAAACATTTTGGACACCGATATAGAACCAAGGACGACCCCACTCTGCCACTTGCCACTGGACGACCCCACAGTGCCAGAGCCACTGGCTGAGACGGTCAATGCAGGGGGATTCAGACTGAAAGAGACTGACAGATTGGGAATAGGTCTGAACATCCTTCTGCTTAGGGGTTCTCACAAGCGGTTCTGAAGCCCTTGCAGGGTCCAGAACCATGTGGCGGCTGCCTGAGTAATTAGCAGCTGAAGGGAGGACTTGTTTGAAGGGCAGAATCAGGGAGGTAAACAGATCATTAGGCTGAATACAGAGCATCTGCTAAATAAGAGACGCACAGGTCAGTGGACTAAGGCGGCACCGTGGGGGCCAGCTGAGAGAAAAGGGAGAGCCCCAGGGAACCATCCTAGCCCGCAAGGGGAGGGAAAGACTAGGTCGCGAGTGGACAATGCACTGACAGAGCATGAGGCATAACGAGCGGTTCCTTCTAAGCAACCCATCCAAAACCACACGCTGCAATGTAATGTACGCGCGCACACACACACACACACACACACGGGAAGAGGTTTTCTGGGCAGCTTCAGACATGTCCTACACCCACCTGCTATGCTTCAGTGCAATCTACTCAGTGTGGCTTTGCTACAAGCCTGCGATCAGCAACCTAGGGCTCTCCGGCCAAATACGGCCCTTGCCACTCCCAAAACACACACAACTTTTTAAAGTCAAATGAAAAACTCAATTTTAAAACGTGCAATTACTCAGGTCAATACAGTCTCTGTCTATTTCACTCCTAGGCAGAAGGGAAAGCGAGGTTGTGCCCCGCCCCGCGCCAGGGGCCGCGCCCGCCCCACGCCGGCTGGCCAGCCGAGGGCGCGCTGTAGGGGATGCGTGCGCGCTCCAAGCTGGGATAGTGAAAGCTGCTGGCAGCAGCACATGCCTCCACCTGGCCGCAGTGGCCCACGGTCTGTCCCCAGTCACTGTTCCTGGGCAGACCCTGCAGCCCAGCCGTGGCGGTCCCACAACTGCTGGAACGGACTGGCTGGGG